AAAATTATGCTGATTAAAAGTGGTGTAATATATAATAATGATTAATTTATATTATTTAATTATATTAATATAGTATTGAAAATAGTTGAATAAAATTAAATTAAGTTAAAAATGGAGTATAATTGAAAACTTATAAACAAACACATCCTAAAGGTGTGTACCTCAAGGTATTCTCATCTTTTACTTCTTGAACTGATGCAATGCGATTTACCCACGTTCATTTATTTTAGGGGATGTGATTGGACTATTAATTCAACTTGATTTGTATATGTTGTTGTTTTTTCTTTTTTCTTTTTTTTTTTTTTTTTTTTTTTTTTTTTTGTATATGTAGTTTACAAAATATGATTGTTTTTTCTAATATTATCAAAATAGTCAAATATTTACTTCAATGGATTAAAATAAATGATATGACCCAAAATGACAACTATAGCCTTCAATTACTCGTATTCTCTCTTTTTGCCTATTCTGATTTTTCCCTTTTCAACACACCCTAAATTAGACTTTGTTCTTCATCGATTTTAAGAGGTAGTGGTCCCCGACCGTTCTGGGAGGGGTCGTGCTTGAATTCCTCAGCGTCGTCACCCTCATCCTTTAGACCGTCTTTATCGGTGACTCAAATTTTGGGTCATCTGCTATACGACAAGGAAAAAAAGGTTAGTGGATTGCGCGACCTAGGTCACAACCGCAACCAGTGTAATGGGACACTTATCTCATTTTATTGGACAATTTTTTTTTTGTTTAAAAAATACTAAAATTTTCATATTTTTTTTTTCATTCTCTACAGATAGAGACACAATTGACATGTTTTGAAACAAACTTGCATTTTTTAGATAAATTAAAATAAAATAAATATTTAGGTTGAGTTGTGTTGGGAATAAAGATAAATTGGGTTGTAAGATTGAGTTATGTAGATGGAAGAGAGAGAAATAAATTTTAATTATTAGGTTGGGTTGGGTTGAATTGGGATAAAGATGGTCTTAGGATCTTGGACATATCGAAGTTGGCGTAAGTTCTGCTGGCGGAGAAGACGACACCGCCGCCGTCAGAGAGCTTATTGGAGAAGATCGAGGCCTCCTCCAGGACGTGATGTGGCATGGCGTGGCGGCGGATGTAGGAGAAGGTCTCGCGGATCTCATCGAGATCCTTCTTCGGTGTGTCGAATTTCCCAGCACCGAGGTTGTCGCACAACATGAGGAAGGGGAGGAAGATGCAGATGAGGGTTAGTTGTCGTAGCGAACGAGCCGCTACTGGTGGGGGAGGTTCGGATCACCTGTCCATCTCTTAAAAAAAATCGATGGAACGAGCTTGTGAACGAATCAAATGCACATGAAGATGACTCTATTATTTCTTCCTTTCGTACCCTTTTGACACCGTAACCGCTTTAACAAGGCAAGCCTTAGCTAGGCCCGCTCATTCCTAACTGCCTTCCTAACGAGCATACTCGTCTAGGACTCAACAGCCCACCGAACGTGGCGAAATTTATGAGACTAATATTAAAATTAAAAAAATCGAGATTCAAAAAATTTATAGGGTAAATTTGGGTTGTGTTGATAGATCAATGGGGTTGGAGATGCGAGGATTTACAAGCTCCACTGTATCAAGATGGCAAAGATGTTTTTATATGCACTTTGTTTGTAAATAATTGACATCAAGGAATATTTTAAACTTTTTCGAGTGCAATTTTTGGACACAATGGTAAGTTGCAGACAGAATTAAAAAATCCTACCCTCGAGCTGGGATGGTTTTTATCGACTAACAAAGGATAGACACGTGGGCCACCACATGCCACATAGGATCTATCTCAATTCCTATCAAGGTATGTAAACACTGAATATTGTTGGATATCTAAGCTTTTCATGTCATATCTCCTAAAGTAAATGAGGCCACAGAGTCAGACGTCTTTTCCTCTTGCCTTTCTCTTCTCTCTAAAATCTCCTTTCGATAGAAGCAAAAATAGAGATCTGACCGACGGCCCCCCTTCTCAGACGCTGTCGATTCGCGTCTTTTTGCCTCACTCCTACACTCCCATATGACTTTATCTTACTTTTTTTTCCTTTTTTTTCTTCTCGAGAAGGCATATTCATTAATAAAACTCATATTTACAAACAACTAATTAGTCGACTAATTTAAATGTTGTTCGACTTTCATTCTGATCATGTGACCCACCATTGTCCTCGTCAAGACGTTCCTACCCTACTAAATGTCGCCCCAATCGAAGTTTTTTTTTCATTGTATCTTTCAATAAAAAAAATTGTGCATTGCTCACCCATGGGTTCAACCCGTTTAATTTGAATGTTTTTTCTCTCATTGGACATGTAATTGTGTGTGTATATATATATATATATATATATATATATAGGACTGGTTCAAATAAAAATTAGTGCCGGTGTGAGAACCGTGAGAACCATATTTGATGCTATTTATAATTTTGCATGATGCTATTTTTAACACACATGGTGCTATCATTTTTACAAGTGCTAATATAAATTGTGCTGCTATTTTTAATAAAATAAATCTATGTTAAAAATAGCACTAAAACACAATTAATCATAGCACTAGGTACAACTAAAAATAGCGGTTCTCACGGTTCTCACGCTAGGACTTGGTTCTCATTTGAACCAAATCATATATATATATATATATATATATTTACATTTAATTTATTTATATCATATGAGCATAGAAAATATAGATCATTATTTTAGTAAAATTTACTACTTGTCATTTCATTTATACTTTTTTAGTTATCAATTATCGGAGATTCATTTTACACCAAAAAACCCCCAAATCGTGCCATAGCAAAAGAAAAGCCTCTCAATTGCTGTTGCGGGTGCCTCCCTTTCGCCGGCCGATTTGCAGCCTCTAAAGCGACATTGCTCTACGCCGAGGACCGAGGTGGCGGCGAGCTCAAAGTACGATCGTCTCACTCTTCACGGCATGCCGTCTCTTCGTTTTCTGGTGGCCATGGTGGTTCTCAAGGGTGCTCCGACGTCTGTTTGGCGAGTTGCGGCCATCGGCGTTTTCCTCCGTCGTGGTGGGGGAATGGTTTGAGACCGATGCCGTCTAGTTCCCTGGATCTAGCCGCCTCCTGGTGCTGAAGTGTTGGGGTCCGACGGGGAGTGGTTGGCCGCCGTTGGTGGTGGTCGATTGCTGTCCAACTTGGTGTTGGGGAGCTAGATCGGTGTTGGGCTCTTGGTGTAGTCCGTGTTGGTTCCGGTGAATGGAGTTCGGGCTCATTTTTGTCCATGTCTAGTTAGGCCTTTGAGTGCATTTTCTAGATCTAGGTCGGGTCAGTTTTCCTTCTTTGGGATTCGTGTCATTTGGTAGTTTTCGGTTGGTTGTAGGCGGTTGCGGAAGGTTTTGTTCCTTTTTTTCCCTTCTCTTGTTGTTTGTGTGTGTTGTCCAGTGTATGTAGTTTGTTTTGTTTGTTTTGTGTTTTAATTGTTGTGTTATTATTGTTGTTTCTCTAGTTTGAGAGTGTGTATTCTCTTGTTGGGAGTGTCTTATTCTCCTTTTGGGAGCGTGTATTCTTCTGTTGGAAGCGTGAGCGTGTTATTCTCTTCTTGGGAGCGTTATTCTCCCGTTGAGAGGGTGTTATTCTCCTGTTGGAAGCTGTATAGTTTATTGTATTGTGAGTGCGTTAATGTAGTTACTTCTAAGCTACATTCGGGTAGGCCGCCTGGGTTCACCTCTGTAATTGTATGACTATTCTAGTTGTTGCTAGCTGTAATTACGTGGTTTTAATTATATAAAATTTTTAACGTTTCCAAAAAAAAAAAAAAAAA